TGCCCCCTTCCTGATTTGCTAGTATTTTGCGTATCACACTTACATGTGATCTTGATATTAGACAAAGATCCAGGAGGTCACAAAAGAACCCAGAACAACATTAAAGAACAGCAGGTGTCAGTAATCTCAGTCAATGTCAGAGTTTTTGATTCAACAATAAGAAAGAGACTGGGCAAAATAACATACACTATCTCTCAAAAGTGAGCACACCCTCCTCACATTTTTGTAAATATTTTATTCTATCTTTTCATGGGATAACAATGAAGATATGACACTTTAATACAATGTAAAGTAGTCAGTGTACAGCTTGTATAACAGTGCAAATTTACTGTGAGCTCAAAATAACTCAACATACAGCCATTAATGTCTAAACTGCTGGTAACCAAAGTGAGTACACCCCTAAGTGACCAAATTATTACCAATTAGCCATTTTACCTCGCTGGTGTTATGTGACACGTTCGTTTACAAGGTCTCAGGTGCAAATCGGGGACAGGTGTGTTGAATTCGGTGTAATTGCTCTGACACTCTCTCAGACTGGCCACTGGAAGTTTAACCTGACACATCATAGCAAAGAATTCACTGAGGATCTGAAAAAAAGAGTTGATTCTTTGCATAAAGAGGCCTAGGCTAAAAGCATATTGCCATAAACATTTAGTAATAATGTGGACTCCGGCTCATGTGGGTATTTTGGGTAATGAAAGTGCAGATAGGTTGGCCAAAGCAGCTGATCAAAGAGTCGATATAGATGCACAGATACCACTGTCAAAATTTGAAGGGAAAAGTGTAGTTTGGACAGAAAGTAGTAACGTCTGGCAAATGGCATGGGATAATGAAACAAAAGGGAGACATTTATATAGGGTGCAAAACACAATAGAAGCTAAGAGGAGTGGCGGATTAAAGAGACAGGAGGAGGTTGTTGTCAGTAGAATCGAACAGGCCACTGCTTTTTGAATGGTACTCTTTTTAGGATAGGAAAACATCCGACTGGGTTGTGTGATGGGTGCACTGATATGGAGACGGTTGAGCATGTACTCCTTAGTTGCAGGAAGTATGCAAGTCACAGGAGGGTGATGTGGGGTGAAATGAGTGGTGGAAGGGAACTTACGTTTGAACGAGTGGTTAAAGAGTTAAGTCATGGTGAAGGGAAAGTGGTGGTTTTTCGTTTTTTTGAGAAATACTGGTCTCATCAAGAGGATCTGAGGATTTAGGAATGACGGACGATTAACAGCCAGGAGGTGGCAGTAATGCAACAGTTTGGGATGCAAGCTGTCGTTAAACTTGACTGAAGAAGTAGAAGAAGCATATTGCCAACACCTTGAAACTGAGCTGCGGCACAGTGGCCAAGACTGTACAGAGGTTTAACAGGACAGGCTCCACTCAGGACAAACCTCATCATGGTCGACCAAAGAAGCTGAAAAAAAAGTGACTTTAGTGACATAGCAAAAGAGACTTCTAGTAAGCTGAACTTTTTTGATGTCTATCTTCTGGTTGTTTCAGATACTGAAGTGTCCTGTGTTTATATGGAGAACTGCACATTGCCATGCAGCTATGAGGGTGCTGATGTAGTCATTCACTGGCATCAGGTGTCAGCAGGAAATCTTCCCGTTCACTCATTCTTCCACAATCAAGACCAGCCAGGAAACTCGGCCCAGCGCTTCAAAGGCAGAGCATCAACCTTCAAGGACCAGATCTCCAGAGGAAACGCCTCAGTCCTGCTGACAGGAGTGAAGGTTCAGGATGAGGGCAGATATAGATGCTACACCAGCATCATCAATGGGAACATGGAGTCATTTATCAACCTAAAGACAGATGGTATGAGACAAAAAAGATACATTTATTTAGTAATTCAGTTTTAAGTTGTTATACTTATTTGTCTATTCTGTTTTCCACTGAATAAAGTTTTACATTTGTAACTCTGTGTTATGATTAGAAAGCAAGAGTGTAAAGTTATTTACTCAGGGTTAGTGGTCAACAGTAGTCGTATATATGTAGATAACATACCTGACCAGGAGATGTAAACCTTATTCACACACTACAAAAACTCTAAATAGTTGTTGAGTATGTGAAATGTTCAAACTGAGAACAGTAAAGAGATTTCTATT